ATCCCAAAGACATTCCTTAAGGAACTCAATCTCCTGAGTATAAACCAGTCCTGAAGGTTCTTTAATAAATCACCATTCATTGGAAAATAGAACTGATTGAAGTCACCATTCATTGGAATAGAACTGATTAACAGAAGTGACTTTTCAGATTAAGCTCTGTCTGCTTTTTAGAGTCCCATTTAAAGGCCTTCTTGTTTCTTAACCTTTTAATATCTCAGTTATATAGGATAAAAGTAGGAAAACAGTAAGTGGTTTTAAATATCTGCCATTGCAGATAAGTTTGGACAGAGATCCCCAAACATTCTCAGGTGTTGTTCCTTTTTAAGGGAGTGTTTGGAGCTATTAGTTCTGGTTCACATAGTGTGTGTTTACACATATTTTCCTTCTTTTTCTCCAGGAGCTGAGGGAAATCCATAACAAACAGCAGCTCCAGAAGCAGAAGAGCTTGGAAGCTGAGAGGTTGAAACAGAAAGAACAGGAAAGAAAGACAGTAGAGCTGGAAAAGCAGAAAGAAGCTCAGAGGTAACAGAAGGGTTTCATTTGAGCCCTTAATTGAAACCTTGATATCTCTGAGAAAATATTCCTGTCAACTCAAAACTTCTGGGATTGAGATGAGATTTGTGCCCTCTGGTACCAACCTAATGCTTGGGAAGTGTGTTGGTTGGCCAGGAGGAGGAATTTGTTGCTGGCAAGGGTGGTGAGGCCTTGGCAGGGGCTGCCCAGGGAGGTTTGGAGTGCCCAGCCCTGCAGGTGTCCAAGGCAGGCCTGGCCGTGGCACTCAGTGCTCTGGGCTGGGGGACAAGGTGGGGATGGGGCACAGGGGGATCCGTGGGCTGGGAGGGCTTTTCCAGCCCCAGGAATCCCGGGATTCTGTGAAATCATTTTTTAACCGGTCCATTGCCCTCCACCTCCCATCACTCAGAACTGGGAGGGCTTTTCCAATGCTGTGAATTAATTTTTTTCCTGCGAGGAACAGCTTCTTCTCATGCATTTGTCCCTAATTTTGTAAGTCTGAAGGAAGTCCAGAGGCGGAAAAGGTTGTGGAACAAACCAAAGCACACTGGGCATCTTTTATATCTTCAGAGTTATCTCCACTGGGGCAAATTGTTTCTAGCAGAGCATATTTATTCTCTTCTTCTGTTGTCCTGTGCTCTGTTGGAGGAAGGATGTGTTAGTTGTGGCAGCTGGAATGTGCAGTGCTCTGGATCGTTCTGCAGGAGTGTTGAGTGAGGCTTCCAAATGTGCTTCCTCCTTGCCCCTCAACAGCAGGATAAGGAGTGTCACGTGTTCTGATTCCTGCTTTTCCCTTCTGATTGGGCTATTTTGAGTCTTACTTTAGGGATGATTGTGGCCTTGGGTTGGAAGGAGATGATATTTCAGGTCCCTTCCAAGCCAAAGCATTCCATGATTCTGTGATCCCACAAATAATTGTGTAAGAAGATGCTGGGGAGGGGTTGGTGACTCATCAAAATCAAATTAGCTCTTACAGGGAAAGCAAAAAGCCCTGAGGAGGACACTTCGTGCTATAGAACACCCCAAAGGACAACTGACTTGGGTGGACTTTGGTTTGAGTGGCTTAAAACCCCCCTCTGGTTTTCCAACAGGCGAATCCAGGAACGGGACAAGCAGCGGCTGGAGCGGGGACAGCCAGAGGAGGAGCCTCAGTGGCCAAAGAAAGTTCAGGAAGAGGAAAAGCAAAAAAGGGAGGACATACCTAAGAAGAAGGAAAGTGAGGAGAAGGGGAAGCAGGAAATGCAAGAGAAGCTGAGTAAACTCTTCCAGCCCCACCAGGAGCCAGCCAAGCCAGTCCAGGCTCCCTGGTCCAGTGCAGGTAGGGTCAATCCCCAGGAATGCTGGAGCACAACCTCTGGAACAGTTCTTTTCTCCTCTGGCTCCCCATTTCATACAGGAGGATGGTGTATTTCAGGGTTGGATTGCTGGTCGTAGTGGAGTAAATAATGGACAGATTGAGCTCCAGACTCCACAAATTGTCCTTTTAGGCATCACTATTGTCCCTAAAGGTCTGGGGTTTAGCAGAGTGTAAAGCACAGGATGGGATTCCCAGTGCCGAGTGAGGAGAGATTCTCAGCTGGAAAGGGCTGGAAGATCCTGATGCAGGGTGCCAGCAATTATTTCTGTGTTTTCTTGTTTTGGTGTGCAGTATGTGCCTTGGGATTTGTTAGAGCAGCACCAAGGGTCCCAGGGTTACCCTTTTCCCTCTCCTGCCCTCCCCAGGAATGTTGTTCACTGATAAAATCACCTGAAATCTAAGATTTAACCCCCCTCTTTCTGCTCTGCACACAGTCCCTTTTTTTTTTTTTTTAATTTGTGCAGGGAGCAGAGGGCATTTTTATGACTAAACCCCATCCAAAGGGGTTGTGGATTCCCCATCCCTGGAAGTGTCCCAGGCCAGGTTGGACGGGGCTTGGAGCACCCTGGGCTGGTGGAAGGTGTCCCTGCCCATGGCAGGGGTGGCACTGGATGGGCTTTAAAATCCTTTCCAACCCAAACCATTCTGTGTTTCTGTGATATTTCCCTGATGTTTAGAGGAGAAAATAGCAAGAAAATTGTCTTTAAATAATTCATTTTCATATATAGGGGATGAGATACTTCCTACAGACTCTCCCAGCTCTGTTCATTTTTGTCACCACTTTCACCTCATTTTGCAAGTGTTTGAAAATAAAGGGGGTTGATTATTTTTTTTTCCCTTGTGTTTTTTTTTCCTTTGCTCAGAAAAAGCTCCTCTGACCATTTCCGCTCAGGAGGATGTAAAAATAGTGTATTATAGAGCTCTGTATCCTTTTGAATCCAGAAGCCACGACGAGATCACCATCCAGCCCGGAGACATCGTCATGGTAAGGAGGGATTGGGATGTCCCTGCAGCAAAGCAGTTTTGCACATATGTGACTTAAATTATGTAAAGAAAGGAAACTTCAAAACCTAAAAATCTGGTGGCAGGGGTGTGGATAACACAATGATCTCCAATCTTTTTCCCATCTGCCATGTCAAAGTCCAAAGCAATATTTGCTTTTGTCTCTCTAAAATTGGAGTTCTGCGGTTAATGACTGCAGGAATTAAAGAGTTATATTTAATTAAAAATCTTTATTAATATTAATAAATAATTGGTAGGATCTTAACATGGAGAATGAAAACTCCTGAGGGAGCTCTTAAATGAGACCTTGTTCACTGGGGGAAAATATATTTGCAGTAATGTTCCACCCTACAAAATTGGTTTTGAAGAACTTCTGCATTTTAGCTCATTTGTGGAGTGGGTTTGGGGAAAAAATACACTTTGCAGGCTGTGCTGAGCTGGAGTGATGAATTTTGTTTTGAAAGCTCACGTCCTGGGGAGCTGAACCTTTGGGGGTGGGGTTGGGCATTCGTTAATTCGGTGTTTGGGATACTGGAAGGGGCTCTGGGAAAACACAAACAAAAATTTCCTGGGAGGGGGAGCGTGGCCCAGGCTTGTGGGCCATTTACCTCGAGGAACAGTGGTCAGTGCTGGGGACACTTCAGGGAAAATAACATTGTCCCCCCAAAATATGTGAATCTAAGGAGCACTGCACACATTTTTAAAAAGAGATTTGCAGGGAAAATAATATTTTTGCTAAAAATATATCATTTTAAGGAGCGCTTCACGCGTTTTAAATGGAGACTTTGAGGTCATCCAGATCTTTTTACGTGTTCCTTTTGGACTTGATTTTAATTTACTCTCCCACAGTGGGGTAACTACTCTCTGTTCTCTTTATTTAACTGATTTTTGACAATAATTAAACCTGATTCTTGGGAGATTTCTCTCCTGCTCTGCAGTAATGGCTTAACTGGGCTACTCTTAGATGAACTGATCTAAGTCAAATTGTGAACTGTGTTATAATTGTGCCTTGCTTTGAATCTTTGCTTCCCTCTGGAGGTTAAAAGGGAATGGGTAAGTGCTGCCTGACTCCAGGAAGGCTCTGGAACTGCTCCTTTTCCATGAGCACACGAGTTTGTTCCCGTGTAGTTCTGGAATTCCCCAAGGGTCCAATTAACAAACTCCTTCACTTTATCAAAAGTAATTCCACTGCACCAAAACAGAGCTTACTTTTGATGCTGCTTTTGTGCTCCTTGCCCCTCAGTCCTTCCGTGTCTGTCGTGTCCTGTGGTTCTCCCGGGCCCAGGGGGTGACTTTCTTGGGAAAGTAACCGTTTACAAGCTCCCATGTTAAAGTGGCTCTGCCTGCTGGTGTAAATGCAGCTCTGGAGTGGAGCAGCTCTGCAGCTGGGAGTGTCCTGGTGCCACAAAACCACCACTCCTTGGAATAACCGGGCACTGGCACGGGCAAATCGAGCTCTTCACCTTTGGAACCTGAGTTTGGGCCCATTTTAACCCCAAATTTTGACCCATTTTCAACAAATGCCATGTCCTGATTTCCATCTGGACAGGAGGTACCACCCGGACTGGGACTGAGCACAGAGCTGGACCCAGATCCATCCTGGCAGGGGCTGGACTGCAAGAATTCCTTGTGGCAGGAGGACTTTAATGGATGTGGAGCTTGTAGATCACCTTCACAACAGTGTAAAGCACTTTTACACTGGGCGTGAACCCTGAGACCTGCCTGGGTGCAAATGAGGGAGAAGGATGAGGGTTTGTTGGGAAGGAGGATGATTTTCCAGCCTGAGGAGGGCTCTGCTCTCCCAGCTCCCTGGGATATGGCAGTGACCTGGATCTGGCATCATACACTGGAGAATCAGTGGGTTGTGGACTCTGGTTTTTAATTCTCCCACTTTGTAGTTACAGGATTTTGTGTGTTTTCTTGGATTTTGGCTTTCTCTGCTTCTTACCTTTCGATGCACTTTAAATGTCTTTCACTGTGAGCTTAGACTGATTTTAATCCTGTTTGTAACTCAACCAAGCTTCTGTGTGGGGACAGATATACTCAAACTGCTAATGACAGTTTCTCCTCAGTTTTGTTACTTATTCATTGTTGGAGTTGGAAGGAATCTTTTGTGTCTGAGACATGTAAGGAGTTCTCAGCTGTGGCTTTAAAGTACAGTTGAACAAATAAAAACTAACCCCCCACACTATAATTCACTGTTCAGGTGTACATTTAAACTCTAGTTGTATTTTGGAAATAAATATTCTGGGATTGTTTGTTGTAGGGACTTGGGGATGGTGGGTGTAAAAATATAAGGAAATTGGAAGAAATTAAAAAGCTTCAAAGGAATTTGTTTAACATTCCAGTATTGTGCTGCAAAACCAGATGTGACTGGTATCTTATATGACTGAGTAAGAAACCAGATTTGTTATGAATGATAAGTTTAAATTACCCTTCAAAGATCCTTTTTTTGAGTGTTCATGGAGAACTGAATGGGGTTGGATAAGCAGAAATCTGACTGTCCTCGCAGCTGCTTTAGGAGTTACTGCAGCTTCAAACCCTCTCAGAAGAGACATTCAGTTAGTTGGCTTTAAAACCTTTTTGTTGGTTTTTTTTCCCCCCTTATTTCTGAAAACTCCCAGTGGTTTCTGTCTGACTGTGATTGGTGTCAGAGATGCTCTTTTTAGAGCATCCCCAGAACAGGAATGTGACTTTTCTGTGTGTTGGGGGTGGTGGTTCCTCCCTGTCCCACTGAGTGAGTCCCCCCTGGGTGACTGTTCTTAGTGCTCAGATGATTCAGCTTGGCCTGGGGTTCTGATAATCCCTTTCTCCCAAGATGTGACCTTCCTTCTCCCTGCTGCTGCTCCATCTACCCCAGGCTCTGCTGCAGTGGAAATTTTGCTCTGCACTGCAGTAAAAGCACATGGAACTGGTCAAGCACAAAGTGCCTTTATTTCTGGTTTGCTGACAGGGACTGAGCCACAAGGAGGGCCCCAAAATTAGAAATAATGGGTGGGTTTGCACCAGAAGAGGGGAGTGAGATATTACAGTGGGAGGGAAAAAGTCAACAATCAGCCCGAGGCAAAGGAATCTGTCAGGAGCTCAGTGGAGTATTCCAGGCACAGAAATCCATCCATGTGCTGGGCTGATCCCAGAAATCCATCCATGTGCTGGGCTGATCCCAGAAATCCATCCATGTGCTGGGCTGATCCCAGAAATCCATCCATGTGCTGGGCTGATCCCCCAGCGTGGGCAGCAGGGCAGGGGGGATTGTGCCCCTCTGAGACCCCCCTGCAGAGCTGCTCCAGCCCTGGGAACAGCACAGGGAGCACATGGAGCTGCTGGAGAGAGCCCAGAGGAGGCACCAAGAGGATCCCAGGGCTGGAGCAGCTCTGCTGGGAGGAAAGGCTGGCACAGCT